AAACACTGACTTTTCTTATAATTAGTTACAGGCTGTCTTTGCTTTGTGGACCACGGGCTTAAACTGAAGTCTAGAAGTAATGTGGTCAGTTTACAGTTAAATCTCATTTATCTCGAGGGTGTCACTGCATTGTCATTGTATACAATACTTTTAGAATTGCTTTGGCATGTTAGCAGAGTTGCACCAGGGGGAATTTTTTCATAGAGACTTGCTTAGGAAATGTTTATATCTCAGTTTTTACTGAGTAACATAGATGTGAAACACACTGTCTATAAAATAAAATGCTCAACCTTTTAGACACCCATATTAAGCTCTGACACATAGAATAATCAGTGAAGGTGAAAAACAGTATGAAACAACAGCATGAAATGGGAAAGTTGGAGAATGATAAAATCTTACTTGTTTGGCTACATATAAGTGAGCCTTTCAGCCAAGGAATTAGTAGTATTAAGTCCTTCTAAACTGTAAGTAGATGCTAATTTTTTCAAGGTACGTTAGGTTTTACAGTTCAGCCTTATGTTGAGATCTGTTTTTATTTCCATGTTATCACAAATCACAGTGTGGTTGATATGGGCAGGATCCTCTGGGTCTATGTGGCCCAGTAGGGCCCGCCTAAGCAGGGTGCCCAGCTTCTGATGATCTCTAAAGAGGAGACCTCCACAGCCTCCAGGTACCTGTGCCAGTGCTCTGGTGCCACACAGCACAGAAGTGCTGCCTCGTGCAGAGGGACCTCCTGTCTTCCACTTTGTGCCGTGTCTCTTGTCCTGGCACTGGGCACCACTGAAAACAGCTTGGCTCTGTCCTCATTGCACCCTTCCTTCAGATATTTAAACGCATCGATGAGTTTATCCCTAAGCCTCCTCTTATCCACACTGAACAGCCCCAGCTCTCTCCAGCCCTCCTTTGTAGTGGAGATGCTCCAGTCCATTTGTGACCCTTCACTGTGCTCTTTCCAGTATGTCCCTGTCTCTCTGGTGCTGAGGAGCCCAGCACTCCAGCACCTCTCCAGTATTGGACTACCATACAGATGGTAGATTTACAATGCAGACTCCTAGCTAATATCCACATAACTATGTAGCTGCATATCCTATCTGTACCTCAGGATCTTGTTCCATGATAGCTCCTAGCTTTCAAAAGTACATTTTTATTTATAATATGACATCTCCAACTCATCTTTAGATCTGTAAGCTATGGGCATTCTGGTCTCACCTTACAAATGAAGATTTTTTTCCTCCATTCAGTGGGTACTTTTCAAGGAGCGGTGAATAAAGGTTTAGCTCCAAGGTTTAGAGAAGTAATGGTGAAACAGGACAGAGACCTGTAGACTTCTTGCAAGATTTCCCTCCTCCCTTCTCCCTAAAACAAAACAAAAAGAGCAAAAAACCAACGACAAAACACAGCAGCAACCAACAAAAATAGGAAAATATGGCAGCATGACAACATTTGAGATGTATTGAACTAATGGGGAAACTAAATTAGTCTTTTGGTGGACTGTATTTCTTTCTGTCCTATCTTCTGTGTGGTTCATAACAGCAGCGGTGTTGGATCCCTCAGAGCATGGATTTTGTGGTAAGCAAAGTCAGAGAAGGTTGAGAGGATAAGGAAATGCACAGAAGGGAAGTGTATCTCTTTCCACTGGAATATCCCTCTTTCCTGAGGTATACATACACACAGATTTTAAACACAGTTCTTTAAGGTCATAGGGCAGACACATCTTCTGTCACAGGAGACAGATCCAGCTCCTTGCCTTTCTTAAGGAAAAAAAATAAGGAGTTTTACAAAATGAAACCTTCTCTTTAAGTAGTCTCAGGTAGATTATCATCACAGAGGGAGGATATATCCCCAAGTAAGGACTTCTAGATTCAGCTTGCATAAATAGACCTCAGGGAGTGAGTGGGTGAGTGAGTCAAGTGAAAGATACAAAGAACAAAGGTGATATTTTACATTTTTGTGGCTGCTGGGCATGATTCCAGTTCAGTGGTACTGGGAGAACTATCATCTACCTTTAAGAATAGCATTAAAAAATACTGACTTAAGATGAACATTCCCATCCAAGGTGTACTGGACTTGTAGTGCTGGCAAGTCATTACTGAAGAATAATTAGTGCCAAAATGTGAGCAGAGATCTTCATACAATTGCTGATTAAGTGCATCTACAGATCTACTTCCCCAATCATCCATCCAATATTCCAATTGAACTGGCAGCCAAAATTCACGAGGCAAATTTCATTACATTAGTTGTGCCTAACCTAGAGCTGGCATTCTGTTGTAGTCATGATGGTGGGATGGATAGGAGTCTGTAAGATGAATTCATAATGCTTCATTATGATGAAATATCAAAGTATGTTGGAAGGTCACCTTGTGTTGTATAATTATGTATTCAAAAGAATTTAAATTCTTTCCTCAGCCCTCAGTGAATCTGAGACAACAGCAGTGATGGGAAAAACCTCTCTTAAAAATCCCAAGAATCATACTTGTTTTGGCATGACACTGCCTAAGGTGATTTGCGAACAAGGCTGACTTTGCCAAGCTTTCACATAACACACAATTCAGCATACGTTTTGCAACATTAAATCTGCTTTCCATTTGCATGGATAGAATTGCCTGATTGTGTACATTTCGTTAGTTTAAAGGGCTCCAATATTCTAATACTGGAGCCAAAATGAATTTCTTGAGGTGATGGAGGCTGTATATTAATTACTTTAACGAGTCATTCAGAACCGTGCCTAAGGTTGTTCCTTTGTCTGACTTTGGAAGGTATCAGTGTATCTGCTGCCACAGTAGCACTGGGATGGTAGCTACTGACCATCCTGAAAATCACGTTCAAATCTGACAGCAGTAGATGCTCATATCTTTGTGAAGTTGCTTCACTGTTTTTTGGTAAAAGTACTATTGCCAGATACCGTAAAGCTTATAAAATACAGAAATCTGAAGGTATGAGTTGAAGTGGTCTTGTCAAAGAGACCGCAATTAATAAGTAGCATGCACACCTAAGAAGCAATGCATACCATCACTTCTCATCTCTTCAGAGTCTAAATAAAAAAGCCCTTTATGGACAAGTACCAGACTGCCACATTTTAGCCCATCAGTTTAAATCTGATGTCATATAGTTTCAAATTGAGTTTGATTAAATTGTTCGCCCAAAGCAGTTTGCAGTGTTAGCTGATAGGACGTGATCTGGGTGGCAGCAACCATAGAGGCAAAAGGCACATTTAGCTCATCAAAGATGGTCAGCACGTCCTCCAGTTATTGCTTTGCTTTTTTTCTTAGTGGCACAGATTTCTGCAGGGCTTATTATGCCTGAGACCTGTCACCATCCTCTGGGCCTATCTGGGTGTATCTGGTGCTGACCCACAGATAAGTAGTGGCCTACAGCCCTGCTCTGCATGTGAGAGCTGCAACATACAAAGCACCATTTCTCACAATGAACTCATAGTAATAGGGGATCCAAATCCTACATTTGCTTCTGCCTATGGGCAGTGAGCGGGGAAGGACTGTCTCTGAGTACTTCTTGTTCTCCCAGTGTAGACAGGAGAGGTTTTATCCTGAGAAGTGAAACAGTGAAGATGGTGGCTCTGGATGTAGCTTTTTAGGACCTTTTCAGAGAGAAGAAAAGGAGTGTACAGGGAGACATGAAAGTACTGACCTTTCTTCATAATCAAAGATGCATGGGAAAATACTTAGTTTGTAAAGTCACCATGTCTCTGTTGAATAGTTTTGGGAACTGTGACCATAAATTCATAGCTTGCAGTGTTTTCTGAGGGCTGTGATCCAGAGAGAGGGGTAGCCTGACTAGCGGGCTGCAAACAAGACAGGGAACTCCTGGAGAGAGTCCAGCAGAGGGCTGAAGAGATGATTGAGGCCTGGAGCATCTCCCTTATGAGGAAAGGCTGAGAGACCTGAGGCTGTTCAGCCTGGAGGAGACTGAGGGGGATCTTAGCAATGCTTATAAATGTCTCCTGGGTGGGAGAGCTCTTTTCAGTGGTGCCCAGCAGCCGGACAAGCGGCAGTGGGCACAAATTGCAGATGGAAAGTTCCATCTGAACGTGAGGAAAAACTTCCTTACTTTGAGAGTGACAGAGCACTGGAACAGGCTGCCCAGAGAGCTTGTGGAGTCTCCTTCTCTGGAGGTATTTTAGACCCACCTGGACACTTTATGTGCAACCTGCTGTAGGGAACCTGCTTTAGCAGGGGGTTGGGCTGGATGATCTCCAGTGGTCCCTTCTAGCCTCTACTATTCTGTGATTCTGTGAATCTCTTGGGAATTTAGACACAAAACTGCGCTGTTCATCACAACCTGCTGTACTGTAGACCGAAATGGCAATGCAGTCATACAGAGTAAAAATATTTTAAATTTCACTTTGAGAGGAAAAACTGTGTGCCACTGACTGGGAGTAATTTTTGACACTGTCTTTTTCTGAAAGCTGTAGCAATTCCATCTATTAATTTGTTTCTTTCCTGAATATATTTATGCAGCAGAAGTATTCCTCTCCCTCAAGGTAAATTCTGTATCGCTTCACACCCCATTCTTTACAGACCTTCATAAATCCATTCTCATTTATTTGATCCTTTAAATTTGGTGGAAGTATGTTTCCAATATACAACGCAAAAAGAATTTAATTTTGAATTTATACCATAATAATTAATCTCCAACTGTATTATAATTTAATGAATGCATGACATTTCACTCTGTTTTTGTCTCTCTGAACAGCTCATTATGTTCTGTCTTGTTTTGATTATATATAGGATAGCATTAGCTGAGAGAAAGTTACACGTGTTGAAGGATGCAATTAAATTCTAAAAAGTAGGATATTCAAAAATATTTCCCATCTGTCCTGGTTCTTATCAAGTTTAGTAGAAAAATATTCTCAAAGACTGGATAAAATATGAAGGCAAAAGAAATGAGATCGCAGAAAAATAACGAGCTTTCACTCTACGTTGGCAGCTGACAAATAAAAGTTCACATTAATTAAAGGAAAAAATATCTCTTTATTCTTTCAGACCACTCTTCCGTGGAAATTCAGATGTTGATCAGCTAGGAAAAATCTTTGAGTAAGTAATAACCAGTTGCATTATGTCAATATATGTTTAATACTGAAATACTGTGAGGTTTCTTTGCTGTGTTTTTAATGCAGTAATGTGTCTAGAACTAAGTATTCCTAGAGCCCATTTCCTGTTGCTACTCTATGCAACGTGATATTTCCATGCATTCTCTGTCAGAGTGGGAGGAGGAAGCAGCGTGGAACAGAGTTCTGCAGAACTAGCAGCCATCATCAGGAAGTTGCGAGAAGCTTCTGTTTGGGGCTTTTTAAATCTCTTAAACATACTGTGCATGTACTATTCATGAGTTTTCCTAAGCAGTTTGTTTCAAGAGATTCTCTTGGCTCAAATACAAATGCATTTTTTGTTGCAACAAATGCAGTTTTCATTTTTTTTTCAGTAAATTCCTCGTGTATTTCAGAAAATAACATTAGAATCCTTTAAAATGCCAATCAAATTAAAAAGTCGAGGATGCTTACCAACAGCTTCTTTATGGGAAAGCCTTTGTACGTGAGAAAATAGTTTAGCTTTTAAAAAATACTGTATAACCTGCTAGAACAATTAATAGTCCAGATAACTATGAGAATAGAAGGAATAGCAGCACATAATGTAGATTTTGTCAGAGACTGACTAATAGGCTTTCCTTTAAAACCTTTTCTAAATTCAAGGAGTTTGTGTTTTTCTTCTTCAGATGTACAGAATATGTTGAGGAGGTGGAGAGGCTCTGAAGTCTCTGAGTTAGATTAACTCTTTTCCAAAGTATGTTCTTATTAGAAACAGAAGCAACTAAAAAAATAAATTGTAAAATGACCGATATTACCAATGTGTTAATTAAGTAGGAATATATCTTTTTTTAATTTTTTCTTGTACGAGCTCTTCAGGGCAAGGAATGTTTCTAAATTTGTAAGAACCATGTAATTTGAAGATTCACGTACACGTCACTTCATTAGGAAATCAGACCCACTTAGGTCTCATCCCATGCCACAGAACGAACGCCTGTTTACTTCTGCACCACTGCGTTCCTTTTTCCTATGGAGAGACTGCAAAGATCTGCTGATGTTCATAAAGGAAGAAACAGATAGGCAAAGTGAGAGAGGGAGAAAGAGGAGACGTTGAAACTCTGTTCTGTTAAAGATACTGCAAACAGAAGATAGTAATTTTTTTAGGAAAAAGAGCGTAATTAGAATAAATAATGAATTTTTCTGCCTAGCCATATTTCCAGTTCTCAAGTCGTTAACAGATCTGCTTCTGAGCATTTTCATTATTTAGTATGAGGTTCCTAAATTGCAGGTCTTGATTTCACACAGTTGACTTCCTTTTCCTGCATGCCATACCAGTGTATGTGACTCACTTGCGTGGTTAATTTGTCATGCGCTGAACAGCTCTTCCTGCATAATCCAAAAAAATCAATCCTCAAAGTTTACTTTTTCCTCTGCCAAAGCTACTCTTTCAGTCCTGCAACATTCTGCTTTATTAAATGAAGATAGTTTTGATACATGGAACTTATTTTGAGGGGGAAAAAAAAAAAAGAAAAAAAAACTGTAATTTTTTTTAGGGATTTTGATTTGATTTACTAATGATAATTAAGAGGAAAAATCTAAATTAATTGGGATAGGATTAAATACATAACCGGTAGCAGCAACCTCCAGGAGGATCTTTCCATCCCTAGGGGGCGATTACCTGTGCAGAAAAGAATTCATCAAGAAAAGAAAATGCAGTGCTAATTTTAGAAGAAATTCCTTATTATACATTTACTTAAAGAGAAAGTTTGCTTTTGCTTCTTTTGCACATTTCTCCTTAAATAGTTCAGAAGTCACTTGTTTGGGTTTGGGGGGTAAAATAGTGTTTATTTTGTGTTTTCACAGCTGGACAACCCCATACAGTTAGGCATAGCTCTTCTTGTAGGAGGATTGTTTCTTTCTACGGTAGTGAGTCATTCTCCAGACAAATTTGGGCAGAAAGTAGTTTCAGGATTTTCATGCAGACTGGACTGATGTATTCTTTCATATAATCGGGCTGTGGTCTGCCTTTGTTTTTACATGTGCTGATTTGCCTCAGGTAAAATTCCAGTGTGCTTGAGGGTAAATCCTTAGGAGGTTGCCCCAAACAATGTCCTGCTTTTCTAGGACACTGTCTGCATGTGGGATATCCTCACAATTTCAGGGTAAATGCTGCAATGGTATGAGCAGACTTGTCTCTCATTGTGATCAACGGGAGCGGAAAGTACTCAGCATTTCTCAAGACCAGGCCTGAACGTTTGGCAGGAGGTGAAACTCATCCAAGATACACCCAAACTTAGTCACTGAAATGGTAATGCTACAAGACCAGAGTGAGGGCATCTTCTTAGACATTCATTATTAAGAGTTTTGAATACTGCAGGAGCGCATAACTAAAAATATCTTTCCACTCTTGGTCTTGTCCGCCCTACCTGCCTGACTGGCTGCCTCCTGGTTTCTTTTGTTAGCTTTGCCTGGGCCTGTGCTAATTCTGGCCTCTTCATGCTCTCTCGTACAAAAAATAAAAAGCCTGGGACTGGCCAAACACAATTGAATGGCAGGCTAGATTTCAATGTTATTTAAAATATTTAACTCCTTTGTCCTCCAACAGTGCTGTTTGTGTTATGTTTAATACAGGTTCGGATCCTCAAACAGCTAATCATGCAGCTATAACCACTGTGGGGTGCTGCACCATACCGCTGACATACCTGTCCTGATAAAAACATCAGTACTTTTTCAGACAGATTTAACTCATCTTTTCCCAAGAGCTTTGTTGTTTTCTGATACAGTAAGATTTAAAGTTCTCTGAGGTATTAATTGCTTTGACCTTCTAGTCACACTTTTGTTTTGAGGACATGTTAATTTTAGCTGAGCCAAATTATAATCTAAAATCCGTGTAGATAGAGCTGGACTAATTCCACTCAGTTCAGGTAATCTATGATTTACATCTAAATGTTGGCCTTTGGCCTCACCCAGCCTTATTACCAACTTCAGCAAGAAAGGTCAATGCTGCTCCCTAGTGGCACTGGGCTTACTGCAGACCCAGGGATTTAGTGAAGTTTTTCCTTGTTCCTTCTCTTGCTGTTAGCATTTGAATTGAAAATCTCAACTTTACAGGCTGTATAATTTGGTTTTCCCTGAAACCTGACATAGAATGTCAGGTCTTTTCCAGAATTTCCATGAGAAACTGATGTTTCATTACCACAAACATTAACTTCAGACTAAAACATGAAATATACGAGACATGACCCAGTATTGGATGTTTACCTACTATTTCATTTATTTTATTTTAACCTTAGCATAGTTATTTACTGAGTTTAAATGCCTTCCAGAATTTAAAGTAACAAGGTAAGAAGTAATAAAAAGAAATTCAAATATTCTATTGAAAAGTAAAGAAAAAATAAAATACAAAGGCAAATAGAAACACAAAGATACTGAAGTCCTATGCCGCTTCTGAACTGAGGCTTTAAAACCTGTATTGTGAAGCAAATAAATTGTTTAACTTTAGGCAACAATTACTGCACATAGCTTTGAAGCATTATGAAACATCCCTTTTATTGCCTTACCCTCATGTTGACCCACACTCTTCTCTCAGCCTCTATTCTTGTGAATAAAGGTCCTTGCATGCAATTCCCCTTTGAAACTTACTGCTTTTAATCATCCTGGAGTGACATATGTTGCACCATCCAGTCAAGAGCTGAGCAAATTTCTTCCAAAGCACTCAGCACTTTTTCAACAAAAAAGACTCATAAAATTGAGACCTAGGCCAGAAAAGCGTGCTGGCCACAGAATGATTTCTGCCAAGCACATTGAAGACCTACACTCATCACCCTCTATTCACAGTGGTCAGTGCATTACTGTTCAACTAATCTCATTTGAACTAAAAGACTTAATCATAAAGTAAATTGTCACTCAGTACATTAAATACAAAACGGAGACTGCGTAGATGTCCAGAGCTAACATTATGCTTTGCTTTGCACAGTGTAATTGGACTCCCAGAAGAAGAGGACTGGCCTAACGATGTTGCCCTTCCAAGAAATGCTTTTGCTTCCAGACCCGCACAACCTATTGAAAAATTTGTACCAGATATTGATGAAATGGGCAAAGACTTGCTTCTTGTGAGTTTCCATCTGTTTTGTCCAAACTGCATGACTGATAGCTGCATGCCAAGAAACATTTCTGTTTCCATTTAATGAAGTTACTAATGAAGCAGAAAAGCAAGTAGACAAATTCGTGTATATCTGTGAAACATCAGCACAAAGACACCATATTTGGCTCAAGAGGTGTCAGAGGTGAGGACAGATAAAGGCTAGGAAACTGCCACAGAAGGACCTGTTTGACATATCTTCTGCCTTGATCCTCATTACTGAGTGCTACTGTGCAACCGATTAGAAGCCATTCTTCTAAGTCTGATACAAGTACAGAAAATGATCTGCCGTTTTTCACAGGATAGTGCAAAGCAGGAAGTGGGCTGTATAGGCAGATTACATCAGAATCAGAGTACTGAAAAGTTGAGATTTGGAATTTGCCATTTAATCATTGCCTCTTACAGCTGGCAGGATTGAACAGAAGCAAACAAGTTGTGCTTGTAAAACTAGTAGCATGTAAGTCAATTCAATTATTTCCAACATTTTCATAGATCTGCTAGAAACCTTGACTCTAAAGTTCAGTCTTCAAATTGAATATTGAGAATGACTTTGCATTTTACTGTTGCTGAAATCTAGCTAAAGTTCTTCTCTAAAAGTCTTTGAAAGATCTCAGTTCATATGGGCTCTTTAGAGAGGGTTCATTGCAAATATTGAAAGATTTGATGCATCACTTCAGCTGCTCCAACTAAAGTTACATTTGTACAGCAGCAGGTCATTCTCCATTGTTGTTATAACTGCAGCTCCCAGCTTCAGTAAAGTAGACTACACCTGGACACTTGAAATGACAGAAGCACAATGCATCTTTTGTATTTGCAGGCAGATTGGAAATGGAAGCTAGACATAGGAAAAGAACTAGATTCAAAAACAAGTAGTAAAATATGGATACGGCACAGTGAGTGTGAGGCATGATGGGAAGGAGGAAGAGAAAAATATCTTCGCCTAGATGGTAAGGTGGGAAGCCATTATTGTTAGGTAAAAAAAAAAAAAGAGAACTGAGATCCACAGATGAAAGGGAATAGAAAGTCACTGAATTAAATTTCAAGAGTCAAATGATAGAAATTCTGATGCAAGTAAAGTGAGTGCTGAAACTGCTTAGACAAGGACACTAGGATGAATGCTATTTGAAGGTGAAGCAAAGGAAAAGACCAAGGTATAAAACATATGGAGAGTATTCTGAGCTGACTGATCCAAGGCTGGGAAAAGCATCTGGAAAGTAGGCAAGCAAAGTACAACTATGAAGAAGAGGGAGAATTCCTAGTGGGATGATACAAGAGCTTCTAAGGTGACCTTAAAATACGAGTCTACCATCACTGGAACATAAACAGTGGAATTAGACTGAAAATTAGGGAAGAAGAATGAATCTGCAACAAGCAGGTAGGGGGTTGGAACAAGTTAAGAGTAATAGACCTAAGATCTGTGATCACTTCAGCACAACTCTGAAAAGACTCCGAATGAAATAGTTTAAAGTCATCACTTCTCCTCTTACATACAGAAGTGAAATCCACTATCAAAGTACTTCTGTCTGGGAATGCTTAACATACTGACCAGCCCTACTGCTGTCATTACTATGGCAGAAAGCCATGTTCTAAAGGTTTCAGCTCAGTGATAAGTCATGCAGATTTGCACTATGTTAGTCCTAAAGAGTCACTGCAAGAATCCAAGAGTTCAGTTTGCCATTTTTCAAATAGATGCAGAATAAACAAACAGTTAAAGCCCAAATAACTACATCATCAGACAACACTTTACATGAAGTCAGTGAAAAACACGAGACGATGGTACTGAACAGCATGAGTATTCAGCACACTTGCAGACTGGCATTGATGAATACTAAATATTCTTTTGGATTTTTCTTGTATTTCAGCATGATGGAATTTTTCTGTTTTGTTTGTTTGCTTGTTTTAAATGTAGGAAACTGAACGCTTAACATTAACACACAAAGGGTATAAAGTCAAAGATTCAACTTCTATAGAGATGTTGACCCTAGGAATTAATACATACCTTAGAAAGCACTCCGTGTTTGTATAAGCACAAAAGAGCAGTGCATTGAGTACTGAGAGGATTCAAAAGCCGTTTGTAAATAGTTGTTCCCTGCAGCCTGTGAGGCAGTCTGTCCTGTGCATATGAATTCAAGAAAATATGAATTCTGAGGCTTCCTAAACTATGAACACTTTAATATTCTAACCTGGTATTTTCTATCAGCCTTGGGGATTCTATAAGCCCACTGCCCCACTGCTTGTTTTAATGTGCATGGTCATCTTTATCACGCAGCACCGTCTGTGACCCCGTTGTGTCTCATACTGATAAAAATGGGCTGTGACTTGCGATGTTAACAATTTTAACTCTACACTGTAGTTAAAAACAACTTCTTTTCATACTTACAGAAATGCTTAGCGTTCAATCCAGCCAAGAGAATATCTGCCTATGCTGCCCTGTCTCACCCATATTTCCATGGTCTGGAGAAATGCAAGGAGAATCTGGACTCTCACATGTCATCCAGCCAAAACTCCAGTGAGGTGAACGCATCACAATGCTGACTGAAGATGAACCTATAAATGAACAAGATGTAGCTGACAAGGCCACTGTCCCATACAAACCACATGGCTGTTCTAGTGAAGATCATTGTTTGGAGGTTTTACACACTGTCTTTCGTTTTGGGATTGCAATGTGCTTATCCAAGGAAATCAACGTAGTTTACTTTCATCAGAGCAATGCAAGGGCCAGGGCTTTGGCCTGCTCCCATTGCAGCTTTATGTTTGTTTTGTTTTTGTCTTGTTTATCTGCCTGGGAAAACTCCAGACGAAGAGAAGCTGCTGACCAGTTTTGCTGCCGTTTTATCCTTCTAAAATTGAATGCTGCCAGTGTGGAGTAGGATGATCAAGTCACTGCCAAAACAGGATACAATCTCTCTAGCTGCTGAAGCATGATTTGGTACTTTTATTATGATGGTGTGATCTCTTAGAGTGATATTTAAAGAATGGCATTGAAGTATCAGATCTCTGCAACCTGCAGTTAACTGATACATACATTAATACATCCAGCTACTGTGCACTCATAGAATACATGCAGGTCCTTCCCCAGCTGAAAACTTGGATGGATTATTTTGTTATTTCATCGCTCTATAAAAACAACAGTTATGATAGTGATCGTCACAAACAAGTTATTATCTAGTTAAGTTTGTGTGTATGTTTCAAAAGCAAGTGTTAAAAAAACTTACGAGGTCTCGTTCTTAAAGATCCATTCAGTTTCCAAATGGTCAGTTTATGTTGGAATCCATGCACATTCTAACCCATCATCTAACCCATCGTTCCTTTCCGCAAACAGCTGCAAACACACTTTCTTTCTCTCATTCTGAAATTTTCTGATATGCAGCTCAAAGTCACGAGTAGATCCAATGAAAATGAATACAGGTTTTCATCTTTAACCTGTTGTCGTCATTCTCTGAAAAGGAACATAGAAAAAATATTTCCAGTTTGGAAGGAGAGAATGCTATACTTGTTAAGTACAGTTATTTACCTGTGCGGAACTGTATGCTGCATACTGTGCTGCCTTACCTACAACAGCCGCCATGCATCTCAAGTCATGAACATTACTGTCACAAAATGCCTCAGATGTTGCTTATTAAGAAGACTTGTTTTCTATGCAGAAATGCATGAGCTTCTCTCCTAAGCCACCATGTGGTATACTGGCACATGCTTCTCCACTAGGCTTAATGTGCCAGTACTGAATGTCAAAATAACTAAGCAATTCACATGCCTTTATAGAACAGTAATTTTAAATATTACATTAAAATGTTATATTTAGTATTTTTACCTTAACTAAAAAATATTTTCAGTATTTTAAAAAGAAGCATTTATTTTTTTTAATACTGTACTGGGAAAAAAAAAAAAAAGAAAGAAATATTTTCAATCCATGAAAGCCATTTCCTTGTATGACTTCAGTGCATTTACCTGAATATGACTTGGGGGAAAAATTGGTCCAACGAGTTAACCCTTACCATAAAAATATAAATACACCCTACTGCAGTGTAACTGATGAGAAGTGAGGCAGACAGCTTTGCTTACTCTTATGACAGTCCCTTAGGCTACTCTCTTCCTCATCTCTACTTCTTCTCGTCTGGCTATGGAGCCAGTGTTACACCCTTGCTCACGGCACGCTTGGCAAAAGCAGGTCCTTAGCACTGAATTGAGCGATGTAATTGTGCCAGACAGGGCTCAGGAACCTGTAGCTGTCTCCTGGCGGGTTTCTCAGCCCTGTGGCAGACTGCGTGCTCTGGTGCACTTCACTGTTAACTCTATTTCAGGTATCAGTACTGTCTGGGACATGGCCCATTGCTAAGATGGTGAGTGGATCTTACCGGTCTCCTGGATAAAGCTTTTCTTTACTATTAGACACTTAACTGTGCAACTTGTAGTTAACATTATGCCTACTTTAAATGGGCCAGATTTTAAAAGAACCACTTGTGTGTATGCATGCAGTAGCCTGTGCCTTTCTTCATGCCCAGAATGGTTCCTGTTCAAAACCTACCAGCATGAACAGGCAAGTTGCATATTAGGCCTGGCAAGAGCACATGCAAGGCATCTGCACGCGAGGATAATACAGAGGCACAGCACAAGAATTTTGGAAGCTCCACCAGTGGCAAGCTGAAGGCCAAGGAGCAGCCACGGCAGCTCACTGCTCTGAGCTCAGCTTCGCTTCTGCCAGTCTCTCTGCTCATACATCCAAGGAGAGCGGCGAGCCCGTGGTACTGGTGCTGAACCAACCCTGTTCCTCTGCCATTCAGCAAACCTGAGTGGGAACAGGGCTTTGGTATTCATAGAAAAGAATAGACCAAGGTGGTATTTTTGATCACATTTTTTAAACACTAATTAGAATGACAAACAGAGACAAAATACAGGTGAATCTTGCAACAGCAACAATAGAAAAGTTTTCTACACAGCTTAGCACTTTGTAAAACATTCCACATGTTAGTACCGCCAAGCTTCCGTACATACGCTATCAGGGCATTCAGCTGATACTGGCTTGCCATCAGCTGTCAGGGAACTTTCCCAGAGCTCTCCAAGAGCTAACATGGGGTGAAAATGGGTCTGGGTGTGGGTTTGGGGATGTTGCTTTCCAATTAGACTCCAGACTCTCAGATGGTGAAGTGCATCTGCTGTCTGGTAGGAGAGCTGGGTGTACTGGGCTTAGCAACACAAAGGCTGGAAGAGAATATGGTTGCTGGCTGTAAGCAAATTGTTAGGGCAAAATTAAAAAAGAGGGAAGTTAATGCTTAAAGCCAAAGGTTATTGTGAGCCCAAGAATGAATGAAAAAGGTGGGAATTGCCAGAAAATTAACTGTTGGGGCAACATTTCCTAGTTTGTAGTATCAGACTTGAAGCTCAAGCAAGCAGCAGAAAAAAGCACAGGTGGCATGTGGAATTGGAAGCAGAGCTCCTGCAACATGGTGCTGTACATCGTCTAATACAGGATCAGGTTATATGGGGGAGCATTCAGGAGAAATAGCTTGGAAAAGGTTGCACTAGTGGTCATGTTGTGGAATAAACATCCAGTGGGAATGGCAGGAACAACAAAAAAAAATTCTGTGTTGACAGGGCTGGGAAAAAGATCTTTTTTCCCTTGTAGCAATGGATGTATTCAAAGGCCCAAGGACTTTCCAAATGACTTCCTTTTCAAAATCTCTTCAGGAGGAAATTCCAGCAGTCCTTCCCTGACATGTCTTAGGCTTCCTCTTATTCCCACCTCCCCTGCCAAGCCACGAAGCTTAACTTACCCTGGTAAACCAAGGAGAACTGTTCTCTGGCTGGGCAAAGCACTGGCATTGGCTGACAGCATGGGGGAACCACGCTCCTAGTGAGACAGAACAAAGACAACTGGGAGACTGCTTACATCATGCTTTTGCTCCTTACATCTTCATGGAGGCTGTAGTCCTTGAGTACCTTTATTAATGCTGTATGTGTAGAATTAGAATTATACGTGAGAAGAAAGTGCTCCTTGACATACTCAATACAGACTGTGATGACAACTCCTCATATAAATCCTATAAAAAAATACTTCAGAACACAATTCTTAAGAATTACTCTGTCAGCATGTGTTCTGCAGGACTGGTTCAGCAGCTAAAGCCCACTGCCTAGCAAAAAATACATTAAAAGTAAGGATGGATGATGAGCTCCAAGAGCACCCACAGCCAGACACTGCACTCTTCTCAATCAACGAGATGTTCTGGGAAACAGGAGCAGTTTCCATCTCCCACAGACGGGTTTGTTATCCCTGCTACATACCTACAGGAAAAATCCAGTCCCAGCAGACAAGGGAAAAACCCACTAATGTCAGCTGGTGCCATGCCACAGCAATAAGACTGGGGCAGCCCCTTTCTCCTCACCCAGTCCCCACATTCAGTCTAGCTCTGCAGTTCCTCTCCTTCAGCATCCTTACGGAAAACATTTCAGTGACACTCATAGGTGCTATTTCCAGCAAGATTCTTCCAGATTTTCAATAGCTGCACAATGCCAGTGACCCCTGTGCCTGTGCATTCCACAATGTCAGTGCCCATTGTGTGCTGTGTAAGAAGTGTTGCTTCTTTTAGTGCAGCAGCCCAGAAGAGATGATTTTAAAAGGCTCTCTTTGTGCAATGTCCTCACTTAACATTAGTTTTGTGTACACCTTTGTTGCCTCCAGTGTGCCAGGCAGAATTCTAAAAACAGGGTTTGTGCATATTTCTGTATTTCTGTGTAGGCTGTGCCCACACTCCTTTTTTCCTGCACACTGGTCTACTTTGTGAAATGCTAGGAATACCTTTCTGTCTTGATTCAGTCCTAAAATAGACGTAAAAAATTAAGATATCATGCTTGCAAAATTCTGAAATGTGGTGCTACAAGTATGTATAGAGCCTCTCAAATGAAAGGAAGCAGCAGATTGTAGGTAATATTTGAGAATCTTCTGCAGAGAGATGCTGTCCAGCATCCCAACTCCTATGTAGTTTTCATACTTGATGGTTGTTTTGGTGAATAAGAAGAAAGTACTGTGCCATGCTACTTCTCACAGGTTCTCTCACTATCTTTTAGAAGCATGTTTTATTATCCAAAGGAATCGTTCTCTCTGGTGTTTGGCTAATTTTAATATGGAAAATAATGACAAAACATGCTGGTTTGGTCTTCTAGCCAACAAACTTGGAGCACTTATCTGACTCACAACTGAAAGCACATCAGTTGTTAAATATGTAAATGAATCATAAGCCACAGTTTGGTTTAAAAGACAACGTAAATTATTTGCCATGTATAAAACACAGTTGAATGTTTATTCTCAGAACTCTGTTTTATAGAACCACTTTGTTAGTATTTTTCTTAGGCAATAGTTTCAGGAACAGATGAATTTTTATGTACAATGTGAATGAGAGGATAGTAGACTATTAGAGTGATCTGTTGTTTTATGCTTGAAGCTTGAATTGATCAGAAGCCTAGGGACCTAAGTTATTTATTGTATTGCCTCAAAACTACTTCTAAGTATCACGAGTTTTCTTGATTTAATGGGATTTTACACCTCTCTTACTGTGTGATTTTGTTGACACTAGTATATTAGAAAAAAAATGTTTTTCCAAATCGGCATTGTGGTAGAAAATTAAGAAATTTATTTTTAAATTCACATAGAATAGTCTGTAATATACTAAAACCTGCAGTAACTAACTGTTAATAAGCTATCACTTTTCTTTCTACTGGATTAATAAACATTGGAGTATACAGATTACTTTCCATGAAGAAAAGAATCAGAAACAATCTCTAGAAAAATGGGATTTTATGTGCCTAATCATACCTACCAGGCTACACTATCATATTATTTTTTTGTGTGTGCCAATACTGATCAGGTATGTAAAAACCTGACTACAGTTTGCCAGTCGAACAGGCTGTGCAACTCAAATAGGAGTTCTGTTTGTCAGTTATTTTTTTTATCCCTTTGTTTTACAAATTGTTAGATAATGGCTGTAATATAATTCCAGTTTCTGGACCAGGTTCTGTCGCCATCAAATCCCAGTAACTTCTGGAAAGCAATAAGAAGCTTTTTCATTGATTTAAATGATCTAGGCCATTAAAAGAAGAAAGACGTGGACATATGAACTGACAA